ATCAACAAAATCTACAAAAGAAAATAATTACGTCATTTTGAAATCCATATCAGCATGTCTATGTTGCACGGTCGCACTACATGTAAAAACAAATTAATTAGTACTATAACTTCAATACTTTAATTCTTATATGGTTTCGATGTCGTTGTTTTAAAATTATGAGATGACAGGTAAACTCTAAAGAGTAACTTTTTCTTGAAAACTCACTTTTAATTAATTAAGAGAGCGTGCATGTGAGAGAATAAAGTTTTTAATAAAATATATTTATAAAAAACGAGGTAGCTTTAAAAACAACAGTTATTTTTTTTTATCTCTGTAAAATTATCAGGTAATTTCTCGGGCAGCAATTCTTGGAATAACTTAGCATCCATTCCCATACTCCTTCAGTCTCAAATATAAGATATATTTTGGTTCAAAGTAAATGACATCAATCTCCCTTATCCTCTCCATTTAATTTTGGCTAAAATGCATATGGTTGCATATAACCTCTCTCACTTTTAAAAGTTTAAAATTAATTTTTCAACCTTTAATTTTGTTTTTCAAAATTCCTAATTGTTAATTATATTATTTTTTTCATGAGGATTAAAATGTTATTCAATTAAAAAACATTATTAAACAAAAATATTATATTGTATAACTATTTATAATAAATTTTTATATTTTTTTGGATAGTTGAGGCATTGATAACCAAAAAAAAATATTATTATTGTATAAAATTTTAAATATTTGCATTTATATTATTTTTATCTATTTTTTGTTATTAATGGTGCATGATTTTATTGTTTTAAAAGATAAATTTTTATTTATATTTTCATGTTAGATTAATATAATGCACATGGCTAAAATATTTAAAATTTTAAATATTACTATGTTATATTAATTTATCTTTTAATATTAGAAAATTATACATCATTGATAACAAAAAAACAAAAAATTAAATATTTAAAATTTTATATGATGATAATAACATTTTTTCTGGCTATTATCAATGCCTCAACTATTTAAAAAATATAAAAAATTTATAGTAAATAGTTATATAATATAATATTTTTGTTTAATAATATTTTTTAGTTGAATAATATTTTAAGCCTCATGAAAAAATAACATAATTAATAATAGGGGGTTTTGCAAAATAAAATTAAAGGCTAGGAGGGTTAATTTTAAATTTTTAAAGGTAAGGAGAGTTATATGTAACTGTCTCAAAATTTAGGAGGGTTTTATACATTTTGGTCTTTAATTTTTTTGCCTCACATTACCCTCATTAATTTCAGTTTTTTTTCCCCACTTTCTTTATCTTCTATATTCAGCATCCTCGTTAAAAATGGGTATTTACAAAAATTAATAATTTAATGTTAAAAAATTAGTTAACTTAATATTATATTGGCTTTGCATTTCCTCCATGGAATGTAATATTTAATTTATTAGTGAAAAATAAGATTTTGGTCTTTACAATTTGGGCAATTCTGGTCAAATTCCTCGTTGTTTATTTCGTTGAGAGTGTGTCCTTATAATTTCAAACAGTATTGGTATTCATCCTTAGATTTAAATTCTCTATAATTGAGAATTGTGAATTTCTATGAAGCTCTTTTAGTGTGTTATTTTATTATTTTTTATGAAATGAAAAATATTTTTTTGAAATAAACGTCGCAAAAATTCACGGATTTGAACTTCAAAAACATTAAATCCAAATTAGCATGCTTAGACGTTCAGAAATGGGCTAACAAAGATTTTAAAAAAAAAAGCTGTTAAGTTGGATTATGTGGCAGACATATAAACATGGGAAAATTTCACTTAAATCCCCTAGACCAGAGATAATAAAAAAACCCAGAATTTCTGAAAATTTATTGTAAATTTAGGGTGCTGAATTAAAATTAAAATTCTTTAAAAAATAATAGGATTGTCCTTTCTAAAAGAGAAGAAAAAAATAACTGAAAAAATTGAACTATAAATATATAAGTTAGAAATAAGTAAGGTGGGGTAATGAATAACAGTTTGAAGGATAATAAATAATATACAATACGAACACGAACAAGTCGTACTAACATGAAAGCAACATTTGAAATTAATTCAAATGAAAGTGTTGTAATCAATAAATAAAATGGAGTAATGAACAACAATTTAAAAGGTAATAAACAGTATATAATAGGAACACAAATAAGTCATGTTAAAAAATTTTAATAGGATTAATCTTATTATTTTTTTAGAGAATTTTAATTTCAATTCAGTACTTTAAACTTGCAGTGAAATTTTAAAAATTTAAAGAATTTTTTTATTATCTTTGATTTAGGGTCTGTAATGAGATTTTTCTTATAAACATATTGTGTAACATCATTTTCAATCCACATGGCATTCTCTGTTCTTTTTTTTTTTTTGAGGTGGTGGGGGGCGGGGATGTTATCATTTTAGATGCTCTATTTGTTTCCATTAGTACATATCTAACGTCTAAACGTGCTAAGGATGAACGACAACGACACTCGTAAATTACAGGGACTCCCTCCCAATGAAATAAACTACAAGGAGCTTGACCAGAGTTGACCCAAATTGTAGGGATCAAAACCTTATTCCCCCCCCCCGGGGGTTTTTTTTCACTATATTCGATGAAGGAAATGTTAATTTGGTAAATTAAATAAAGGGCATGATAATTGATAAATAAGAGCGGTTCAAGAACTTCAAAATCGGAAAAGCTAGCGATGATCACATGTCGGGATTTGAAATTGAACGCTAACATGCATCGTGGTTTTTAAAGTGCGAGCAATCTCATTTTAATTTCCTGGGTGGTCACCATTTATTAATTAAAAGTTCGTTCTTTTCCACATCTGCATGATGAGACAGATCATATTGCTGGCTCACAATAGCTACGGTGGAAGAGACAGCAACCTACAATAGCTAGATTCCTTCCTAGACTAGCGCGTGCATGGCACACACCATCATTGGCGACACTAACATGCCTAGCAACAGTTACAAACAGCAGCAACCACGGAGGAAAACAGTCAAGTGTCCCTAGTCGATAAATATGTTGGCGAAATTTGCAAAATTTGTTCCCATGAAATGTGAAATCGATATAAAACGTGGTCAAGAAAATGAGATTAATTTTAATTAAATAAATCTTATTATGATTTGTTTAGTTAAAGATGAAAAAAGGGAAAACTTCGATAAATTACTGCATTATTCGTTTATATGACTAGATACAAACGTTCCTCATAAAACCCGTATTAATGAGGCTAGTAGCGAGGGAGAAATAATTATAATTATATTATAATTAATACTTTTTTTATTTAAACATATAAAATATTTTTAATCAAATTTTACTTCAATAAAATAGTTACATATTTTTTAACTAACCCTATCTTTTTATATTAGTCCCTATTAAATATCCTATAATAAATATAAAGTCATTATCAATAGGAGTATTTTTAAAAAAAGATAATGATTACATTTTAAAAGACTAAAAATACTTTATATTTTTTAATATACAACTTCCCAAAAAATATTTTATATTTTTTAATGAAGAGAGTATAAAACATAACATGTGTAAGATACTTTTGGGCAGAAAAAACTTGTGTAAGATATTTTCTCTATTTCATTTTATAAGACATTTCTTAATGTGATTTAATATTTTAAAATATAAAATATTTTTTTTAAATAAAGTTTTACTAATGATGATTATCTTAATTCTCATTATTTTAATCTTTTTTTGTCAGAAAATTTCACTCCTTAAATATATTTATTTTTCTCTCTTGCTAATCAGTGAAGGTATTCTTTAAAGTTTATAGAAAAGTTAATATTGTAAATTGTATTTGGTGAATTTCATTTATAAGTGTAATTTTACATTGAAAAAAACAGCTTAAGAATTAGGATGGAAGAAGTGTTTAGCTTCCGATGGCATAAATCTACGATTTAAATAATTAAATCCTTTAAAATTGAGACTGAATTTGAAGTTTACTTTGATGTTAGTATTTTTCATTATTTTATTACTTTTTATAAAAATAAAATCATATTAAAAAAAGTGACAATAAACTTATTTGCACACAAAAATAATTACAAAATGAATTGCTATTGGAATAGAAACATGTACTTTCTTTATTTAAAAATGTAAGGCATTTTCTGATAGTTGAATATTTAAAAATATAAAATATTTTTAATTTTTAATATATAATTATTGTCTTTTTTTAAAATATTTCTATTAATTAAATTATTTATGTTTATAGAGGGGATACTTGTTTTTTTTGAATAAAACTTATTATTAGTCTTTATTTTAAAATTTTTTTTATAAGTCTTTAGATATGATTCTGTATTTTATAAAATATAATTTTTTTTTAAAAAAATAAACTTGACAGAAGTACAGATTTCACCAAAAAGAAATCCTTAGACGTATACAATTGTTGGTAATTATGTGCTTCTCTTTGTCATAAGTTCCAACCATTCTTTTTTAACATTTTTACTATTGATTTTTTATTGGCCCGAATCACACATCGACTCACACACACTTTTGAGTCTTGAGCACGTACTATGAATATGAACTATGAAGGATGTTTCGCGCGTTTGAGTTAAAGATTCTTTTGAGGAAAACCTTGAAAAAAAAAATATTTTTGATGATTAAGAAATAAAAACTTATTTATACTAAAAGGTCTTAAAAATATGACAAAAGATTTACCTTAACCAAAAAAAAAATTAAATCTCTTTTACCAAAAATAAAAATAAAAATTTAAACTCAAGGTTATCTTAGAACTTATTAGTAATATTTGAAAACAAGTACAAGTCTGTCTGTCCATCTTGAATGTTACTTCCTATCATTAATCAATTTATTTTGGCACTAAATATAAATATAATACATCAAAGTTATACATATTTTTTAGCAAAAAGAAAAAATGAAATTAATCAATTTTTTAAATAACTAGGTCATGGCAGGGATTTCCCGTAAGTTATGGGTACTTTATTGCAACTCTCGCAAAACCTTTTCTTTCTGTCTTGAACTTCGTACAAAGGTGGTCACTTTGTTCATAGCTTTTGCACTGCCTCTTTCACTCCGCGCTTGCTCTGCTTCAGCTAGGGCTCCATTCTTTCTCTTCACAGGTACAGAGAGTTTCTGAAGCTCGCATTGCAGTTTCTCTCTGAAAGCAAACAATGGTAGAGGGACGAGGCTCCACTCTTGTGCACATTTTGGTGGTGGTTTTAAGCTTAGTCGCCTTTGGCTTCGCCATTGCTGCCGAGAGGAGGAGAAGCGTCGTGAGCTTCTTTTACTCTTTCTCCATCTCTCGTTGTTCTCAATTTCTGAAATCTAATTATAGCGTTTTCCTGTCATCATATGCGGACTTCTACATGAAAAGCTCTGTCATTATTACTTTTTCTACTTTTTTTTTTTTTGGGAACAAGAGGGATTTTAAGTTGGTAACCTGAGATCTACGTGTTCAATTGTGATTTCTTGGGCTAGTTTTAGATTTTACCAAGGTTTATGTTTTAAGCGATAATTTTGTGTCTCGAATGGAAGAGGTCCTTGTTTGCTAAATGCTAATTGCTGAGAGGAGACGACCGTGCGTTGTCTTCTACTTCCATGGTTTTCCACAACTTTCTGCATCTGTGGATGATTGCTTTTCTGTGGTGGCCGGTGAATTATCTCAAGGAAACAAAGAGGAGTTCTTCATCTATTAGTGAAGCCACTGCGATGGACGATGACATTAACTTTGCATAGGTTACTTTTTGAATGTGATAACTTTGCATAGATTACTTTTGAATGTGATACCGTTCCGAGCTAAGTATCGGGTCTTTTTTCTATTAGATTTCTTTAAGTTTAGTCAGCTGCATAAGGTGCTTGATTTAGGAATGTACAGAACAGAGTGGTTCTTATGGTTTCTTATTCCAGATATGCAAACTTCCAAGCATATCAAATTTTCAAAAGATCCTAAAATGGTTGCCCTTTTAAAATGTTAAGTAGGATCACCCCTGATCATGAAGTTTTTTATCACTGAAATGCTTGGATTATGATTATGGGTTATGATGTCTGGTATCGAACTTTGTAAAAATGATTCGTTACTGTATATAAATTTTGTTCATTTCTGGAACCTTTCAAGTTGGATATGGCTGAGCGGTGCTTTGTAGTCAAGGAAAGTTATTAGTGCTGCTGCCCTGCGAATTTAATTGTAGCATTAGTTGTTGACATTTTTTTTATTTGGTAATTATTATTGTTTGTTTTGCACTTTTTGTTGCTAGAAGTAAGATGAACAAACTTTAGTATATTTGTTATCTCATCTCCTTTGATAAAATACATTGATCTTCTTCCTAAACGTGGGAAGGTTGTATTCATCACAGTACATAAGATTTGGGGATAGAACAAATAGCTTCCAACTGCATGTGCCTCATATTGAAGATATAAGACTTACGTTTCTAAGTAATGACTATGAGTGGGCTATTTTTTTTTTTTGGCCTTCCTTTCTCTTCACTGTCTACCTCTTTATGTCTATATTTGATATGAACATCTGATATTGTTGTCTGAACAGTCATAATTGAGCATGTTCCCCATTTTATTGCTGAATTTATTATGAGGGCGAACAGTTTGGAAACTAGATCTTTTGAGGCACTAGAAATCTTTATTTAGCAATTGTGTTATAAATTGTTTTGGCAAAGATGAGAAGCATGAGATTTTGATTTCAGTTGTTGGTTTTGTTATAATCCAGTACCAAATGACTATGTAGGACTGGGAACCCTAATATTGCTCTTCATTTAACATGTCTGTGTAAAAAAATTTTAATGGAATGAAGACTAGAACAATTCTGCCATGCCCTGACCACAGAGAATTGTTTTCAAAGGTTGCAGCAAGTGTGTTGGTATTTTTACGGGTTAAGTCAAAGCTCATTCACAGAGTAGACTTGCTATTAGAAGGACTCCATTACACCATGGTTTGAAGAGAGGGCTACCTTAGTCATTAGAAATTTTAGCATAGAACATAGAATTCTAAATGAAAACTCTTAGCTTCCGTTTGGTTACTAGAAATGAATGAAATGGAATGTATTGAAAAAAAATCAATACAAAAATGAACTAAATTGCCCTTCCCCCTCATAGTAAGTATAATAAAATTTATTAATATATACTATAAATGTGGAAATTATCACACCCTCCAAAAATTTCATGAATCATGATTCCCAACCTCATAAGCTAAACTACCCCTCTCCATTATGAATTTGCTTCATCTTTTCTTATCATTTCATTTTTACTTTATTTTTCAATCCATTCCTTTCTAATAAGCAAACAATGCCTTAGAGTAGCTTTAATCTTCTAGATCCACTGCATTAAATGTAACATTGAAGTTATCCTAGGCTATTATCATCTGGGAAGTTGTTATTTGAGGATTATCCACAGCTAATTGATTATTTCAATGCTTCATAGGCTGGTGCTTTATGAAAAACATTATAAGTGGAAAATATTGAAGAAAGATAAGAGTATATTGAAGAACACATTTATGAGAAACAGTGAAGTATTTAATTTTTAGTGCTTTTTTGGAATTATAAAGGCCAGGGGTGATAGTTTTCTTGATCCAGGTGTTTACAATTTGGTTGTACTGGTTGTTTGTGGAATAGAAACAAGTCATCTTAGTATTTTCTTGCTCCTTCCAATCAAACGTCTTGCAAGACCTAGATTCAGGAGAATGGCTGAATATATCTTACCATTATCTACTGCGGTTTATATGCTGTGGCCAATTTTGTTTCAAATGTGTGGCAAGCTGTTCTTAGTGTTGCTATTGACATGCTTATTACTTTTCAGTTTTTTTATACTATTCCTTTCTATTTCTTGACAGGGAACCTTGTACAGAGATGAAAGAACAAATGAAACATACTGCATCTACAATTCTGATGTCGCAACTGGATATGGTGTGGGTGCATTCCTGTTTCTTCTTTCAGGAGAATCACTGCTTATGGGAGTGACGAAGTGCCTGTGTTTTGGGAGGCCTCTAACACCTGGGGGAAATCGAGCATGGTCCATTATATATTTTATGTTATCTTGGTATGAATTCTGGGTAAAAGCATGGCATCTTCAATTGCTTGTTTTATATGGACAGAAATCTCAAACCTGGCCCACTAGATCACCAACAAATCTTTTTAAAAAAGGAAAGGCAGATAGCATTCATTGCAATGATAAGTATTTATCAAATTCCATAAAACTCTCTCCAATTGATATATCCAAATACTCAAACGGCTCTTTCAATCTTCAGCCAGAAAAAAAAATTGCCACTTAACTAGTTTAAGTTTCTTTAACCAATTAAGATAAACCAAAAATAATTACTTAGCTAGAGTTGAAATGTCATCTTAGTTTTTTAGATTGTTAGGATTTGTTATAAAAAGGGGCAAACCATGGCTTATGTCAGTTGGCCCATTAACTTGTGGATTAAATGGATCTTAGCTAACATGACCCCAAAACTATGCAGGTTGACAAAATATAAATTGAACCCACCATTTTTATTTGTTAAACGTCCAGTTTGGTGGGTTTGAACTGTTTAGATAATTCATTAACAGATTTGATTCATTTTCTGTGTGCATCAATCCTCATCCATTTTGCCTAAGAATTAGTGCGAGGTGAATTAAAAGTTATCCCGTTTCAAAATTATGAAAAGTTCAAAACTGGAAACATTCCTTGTCCCATGTAATAGTTTGTGCTTTTTCTTCATTCTGGATAAGCTTCCTGATAGTTCTCATTCCCAAATGTTGCAAGTGAAAATACCATGCAAAGAATAGCATTCCTTCAACAACCCTGTTCAGAGTTTTGAATTTCCTTATTTATGTTTTATGCACTTGCAGGGTGAATTTTCTGGTTGCCGAAGCATGCTTGATAGCTGGTGCGAGCAAGAATGCGTATCACACCAAATACCGGGAAATGATTTATGCTCAAAACTTCTCCTGTGAATCTCTGAGGAAAGGTGTGTTCATTGCTGGAGCAGTTTTTGTTGTCACAACCATGATTCTTAATGTATACTACTACATGTACTTCAACAAGGCCACAACTACCCCACCTTCTCACAAAGCGAATCGGGTAAGCTCCACAGTTGGTATGGCTGGTTATGCATAAATTCTCCTGATTATGGCACAAGGGTCCCTAATTTTGAAGCTTGAAGTCAATGACTGTGTATTGTCTTTATTGTAACATAATGGCTTTCGGTTGGTGGCTTTGCTTAGGCATCATGTTATGGTGTTGCTCTTGGATGCTACTGTATTTAGTAATTATAAGGCAAGCTATATATATATATATATATCAAGGCTCATGAAACGAGAGTCTATTTAGTTAAATTTGTGTGAAGTACACAATGTTCAGATTTAAAGTTTGCTAAAATTTTTAGACTTAAAATATATGAATTAGTAGAATTGAACTTTAGGTTGCTCTGTTGTCTAGATGAGGGGAACCATTGGAAACACCTACTGATGAAGCTATATATTACTAAGTACATGCAGAAAAATTCCACTTGTCTTGTGTAGGTGAACAGCTTAAACCACCACCTAATTCCTTCCTATAAGGGGAACGGTAGTCTTCAGGGTGGGCCATGTGCTAGTTCAAATGATTCAAACTTATCCGTCCTTTTTTGGGGACTATGAATCTTAGCCATCCTTATCCCTAGCCGAATTTAATCACGCTGTACTGTCTCAACAAGGAGCATATCAGTTTTTGCCAACAGAAAACGAAGAAAGATCATAATTCATACCGAACATTTACGTTCTGGCTTTTTTGGGTGACTGAAAAAAAACCTAGTCCTCACCAACCAGCCCACCAAAAGGTGTTAGAACATGCCGTTCTGGATTTGGGCAGAAGTTGACATGTAGGGTTTTAGTTTGGATGAATGGAAGGGAAAGTTGGAAGGGTTGGAAGGAAACAAGGGGTGTGAAATTTTCAAATATAGTGATTTTCTAAAAATATTTTTGGAAGTTTTACTTCTTATTTTTCTTCCAATTAAAGTATACTTTTAGTTTTTGAACTTTATATAAAATTTTAATTTAGTCTTTTAATTTTGTAAAGTATTTGTTTGATCTTTTAATCCTCACATTGTTAGTTTCAGATGATTATTTTTTGTGTTAATCATTATTATTTTAAAAAAATTAAATTTAATTAGTCAATATTTGATAATATGCTAATATTTAAAAGTTCAATATAAAAATTTGATGCTTTATAAAGTTAATGAATTAAAATGAAAGTTATATAAAATTAAAGAATTAAATGTATACTTTAACTTTTTTTCTTTCTATATAGATGAAGGTTTAGATTATGATCACAAGGAGGATGAACCGTTATATTTTACAGATAACTAAAATGTTGATCTCTTGCTTTGTACTCAATTGGGGATTCCCTAATTCATTTCCCTCGATTTGGCAAGATTCGCACATGTTCAAAACTACCATTGAATCTTGTATTAAAAAAAAAAAACTACCATTGAATCTAACTTCGTTTTTCTTTTCTTTTCTTTCTTTGTTTTTTAAACAAATATTGAAATGCAAAGCATATTGCATCAATTTTAGGGATCTTGATTCTATTTTTATGACTGTTTCGAATTCTTTCACTCTGTAAATGTTCATATTATGGGCGTTAGATTTCATTAATGTTTAAAAGTTAATGCTTGACCAAAAATAAATGAGAGAGTTAAAAAGCGGTTTTATGAGGATGCATTTTTACTCATTTCTTTGCAATCATCATAAGATAGTAAAAAATAGAGCTGTAATTTGGTGTTATTTCTATATCCCATGCCAACATTTATAGCAATTGTTCAATTGAATTGATGATTTCTATAATACTACAAGGCCATGAGACACTTGTTGAGTGAAATAATTTCAGATACTCATCGTATATGGATCCCAATTTCAAAGACATGTTCCGGTACCTCCGAAGCTAGGAATTGGATGATGATTCCTAGTTGGGCCTCAGAGTTCTTTGTTTGGGCCTGCCCTTGATTTGCCATATGTAACCCACTAAAGTTATTAACATAGATTCCTACAAAAAAAAAAGGTTATTAACACAGATTTTGTCCCAAAAAGTTATTAACGCATTCCTGAAGAAGGAATACAGGGACATAACGGCTTCATTGTAGATCCACAATCCCACATGTTATTGACACCTATATAACTGAATAATAAATCAGTAGGACAACTGATTTTGTTTTTATATACTATGTTGATTATAACAAAAATGTAAAGGATATTGTTTAAAAAAGACCAAAAATATTACGATTTTTAATGTTCTCACAACAATAATTTTAATTGTTAAAATAATTTATAGTTAATTTTCTACGTTTTGTGTATTCAAACGTCTTTTTCAATTTTTAGACATGATGTTCCTTCCTTGTCCATTCCTGTGAAAACTTTGGAAGCTACAAAGTGATATCAGGGAATGGTCGAATGGATGTGGGGAGACATGAAATGAAATATCCAAAGGGGACACAGATCTAAGATCATGGAGGACATCTGACAGTCAAATAGTGTTGTGCGCTGTGCACAGCAATCAAAAGTCAAACATCTAATCACATCCTTGTTCACGTCCAAACAGTGGCGGAACCACATGTATGTAGGGGGCATGCCCCCTCACCTGAGAAAAATAACATACATGGAATATGAGTTTTTATATTTTATAATTTACTCCCTCTCTTATTTATACTTTACCTCTTTTATTTTAATATTTTAAACTTTAAATTCATTTCAATCTTATTTTAAATTTAAATTTAAAATTTAATTTTTTGGCTCAACTCAATGAATAATCCATAATTTCATTATATTTAAATATCAATATTATTTATTAATCTTTTAAAACTTAGAAAAAAAACTTAATTGATTAAAGTGGACCCGCATCGCCCTTGTCCTGAATACTACTCAAGGACAAGTAACAAAAAAAATAATAAAAAATAAAAATTGAAGACTCAAAAATAAATCACATTAAATACTTTTCGTTATCTTACAATACTTACAAGTTTATAATTAAATATTAAATTAAGAAATAAAAAAAAAAGAAATGAGGAAAGAGAAATAATAAATTTAAAAGAGATCGAAAAGTTTTCCTTGCACTTGAGAATTTTATCTTCACCGTTGCCCACCAATTGAGAATTTTCCTTGGCTTGGTCACTGCATCCAAATGACTTCTTATTATCCCCTTTATGTCCTCGGTTATTGGCCAGCAAACTACACAATTAAAATTTTTTTTAATATAAATATTATTTGCATTAGTTTTTGTGTTATGGAAAAAAAATTCCCTAACACCTCAAATATAGCTTTAATTAACAAAAATATTTGTGAGATACACCAAACTTTAAAAGGGCAAAAAGCCAATGGCTTTCACCCAAGCAGTGTTTCATATCAAATTTTAAGTGATCATGCTTCTTGAGCTTCGTTTAATGTCATTTTAAAATTTAAATTATTGATAATAAAATTCAAATTCCTCAATTTTACTTCAGTCATCAATTTAATTTTTCAAGTTTAACTTCTAAAAATTTAGTCCTTTACATTTTTTTAAATTATCATGTCAGTTTTTAAGTTTTAAAACATATTGACTGTCAAATTAATTTTATATATAAAGTATGTTGGTGACTTGAATATATATTTAGCTAAATGAGAAAAAAAATCATCTCTTAAATCAGTTAATTTTTATCTATTTTGTCCTCTATGATGCATTTTTTTAAATTTCTAAGTCTTTTTCTACATAAATAATTACATTTTTTATTAATTTACATGGCTACCCATTTATATTCTATTATTCATATCACCAAATTTTAATAGTGTTATCTATTCTTTAAATAATAAAAATTAAATTGATAACTTAGACAAATGAAAGGGACCAAATCAATAAAAAAATACATTTGAAGTAAATTTGAGAGATTAAAAGTTCATTTATCCTTATTAGTATAACACTTTAAAAGTATAACTTTGCTTAGCACTCTAAATAATTAAGTATAGTATTAGGGAAATGGTTCGTCATTTTTGAGAAAACTCATTTTTTATCGCTAAAATCATAGTCTAAGTTAAATTTGGTGATTTGAAGAGGTTGGCTTAAAACAAGTCATATTTCCTATCGAGCTAAGCTTATTCAACTTAGCCTAACTAAATTCAATTTGGGTTGATGGCCCTAAGTCACACGCTTGATTCTAGAGAACTAGACTAGTGAGCCAACTTATCAATCATTGTTTCTTTCTTTCTTTGGTTTTCTGTTCGTTTTCATTTTTTAAAAAAAGAATATGGATTTTGACAACATGGATAAACTTATAAATCATGTAATTCAAGTTAAATTTATAAATTCACAAACTCTCTAAAAATCAAACTAATACAGTACAAATTTCATACATCCTTGTGTAATTCCAAGTTCAGTGCAGGCATAGATAAACCAGTAAACAACATCGAGCCAACAAAAAAAAAAAAAAACCGATCGTCAACTTGAAAGGAATTAGCTCTCTCCATCAAAAGACCAAAGCCCATATTTTATTAATATATAAAAATTACATTTAAAAAAATTAAAAGGGCAACCTCTTTTTTTTTTGGACAAATCAATTTCTGTCCTATCAATTGATTTAATAGAAAGAGTTAGTTCTTTATAATGTAGTTAATCAAAAATTTAATTCTTACATGGAGAAGTGTCATATTTAGTGACTGACAGTGTTTCAAATAGAATTGTCTTCAATAAAAAAAATAATTATAAATAAAAAAACACTTTAAAATTTTGCATGCCTAAATAGGTTGACCTGTTGGGGCGAAGCCTAAATCACCACCTCTATAATCAACTTAAACAAAAGTTCTTATTAATGATACCTGAAGTCAGACGTTTTAACTAAAGTATATCACAATTCTAAGGACTAATTCCTTAATGAAAAAATTATAGAAATCTTGACTTAAATTCACCACAACTCCATAACAAAAGGACAAAGGGCATATTTTTTCTTATTTTTTTCGTTTACCTATTTACAAATTACTGGACTTTAGATTGATATGGGGGAAAATCTAATCTGATTATTATTTTTCCATCAATATTCAATTTCAACCTACTAGTTATCATGGCATGCATTTAGTACTCCCTTCGAGGCTTTCAACTAATTTACTGAATCCACAAAATTACAATTAACTCATTAAATATATTTTAAAATGAAAAAAATTCAAATTTACTTCTATTAAAAAATAGGGAGAGAAATTCACAATATATAATAAGTTATAAAATTAAATTTACAACAAAAATAAAATTAAAAATAATAATAAATAACTCTGCATATATGTTATATTAAGAATAAAAATTCTTTTAAAATACTCTCTCCGTTCAAAAAATGTAAAGCATTTTTAATTAAA